GGTTAAGCGAAAAGAGAAATTCCTAAAGCAAGAAATTGTCTAGGGTTAATAAAGTGATCTACTTATTGATCATTCCTTCACAGGTTCACTTACCATGAAAAAGTAATAAAAGCAAAATGAATACAAGTTTGATCAAAATATAGCTTAAAAACATACTTCTTTCAAATGAGTTTCTGTAAGTTGAGTTTGCCTGAGCTTAAGGAGTATAAACATTTCAGAAGTCTTGACATGTTTGATAATGGATCACAAGCAGATATAGTGGCTTGTATACTTTCATAAAGAGAGGATACCCATGGAAAAGGCTTTTCCTCCCCTGAAATTAAGTTTCTTTAAATGAAAAAGTAAATGAGGAAGAACATACCAATTTAAAGATCTATTGAGTTTTTTCTTTGGGAGTGTTCCTGGGCCATTATGAAAATGTGAATGTTCTTTACAAATTAATATTTTTCAATACAACAGAGCTGCAGTGATAGCTGCAGCTGCATGAACATATGAGCCACCTTGGTACTTATAACCACAGAAGGGGTGGCTTGAGAAATCAAGTGTTTGTACCACTTTTTAGTCTTGGTGTCGAGTGATTCTGAGGTGACATGGGCAATGTGTGCTCAGATAAGTGATAAATGTGCCCTCTGCAATGTCGGGGAGGAACACCTGTCTAGACCTTTAACTTACTGGTAATGAAATTGGCTATTTTGAGGGCTACATTGTAACCCACCTTTTTTGTACACATTTCTGAAGTTATTGCTACCATCATAGACATTGACAAATATACTGTACGTGTACAATTAAAGTTTATTAAAATTAACAGCTTTAAAAATTTCAGCATTTTGACTTAGGATTTTTCGATTTTTAGAAAAAAAAACCCAAACCGATAAAGTTCTAAACTGCATTTGTGGTAAGAAATGAGACAAAAAGCATTATGATCCTATTTCTGGGTCACACGCAGTTTGAAATTCATAATCACAATAACCACAGTAAATTAAACTTTATGCTACTCAGAACCTTTAGATGACGTTCTTGACATAAGAATTTAAAATGTTATTAGAAGTATTTATCCAGGTATTTGTGTTAACACTTACGTAATTAGTTCAGGTGGGTAGCTGCGTCAGCATGTGTAGGCTGCAAAGGAACAAGTAACAGGTTTATTCCATGCTGAAAAGAGAAGAAAGAACAACTTTTTGGCTGTGGAGGCTTCTTCGGGTGTGAGAAAGACAGGGCAGACAGCAAAGATTAAATAGCATAGGACAGTGGTTCTCACGTGGAGCGCTACCAGGTGGTACGCCATATGAGCCTGGAACTTTGTTGTGTGCACTGAAAAATCGGGACGGGTTTTCATATTTTCTATTTTAATACATGTCGAATACGCAGCCTATGTAACGTAAGTGACCAATTGTATTTAAAAAAAAAGCATCTCCAGCAAATAGGAAGGAAGAAGAATGTGCCTGATTTTGGAACAATGTCAATGTTGTAAGCACAGAATGCATAGAAATGCGTGCTATGAACGCTGGCAATCTTGTGAGCACAGGAAAGTGTGATAGATAACAGAAAAATATTTAAGAACTGTTCCAGGTTAATTTTAGAAAAATACACCGAGCGTCTGTGTTTCACTCCCATGCACAAGAAATAAAAACTTATTTTAACTTCTGAGACGGACTCCTGAAACGGAAATGGGGAAAAATGCAAGCTTGCGGATTGCTAAAGCAGGTAAGCCTCACACAATTTTCGAAGGCCCTTATTTACCGTTGGCAAAAGAGCTGACATGTATTGTGTGGAGAAAAAGCTGCTAAACAGCTCAACCTGCTGCCTCCTCTGAAAGACACAGTCACTTTGGCCTATTCGCTCGTTTATGTTAGATACGAGTTTGAGGGTACGTCCCATGAGGACTTTCTGTTCTGTAAGCCGGTACCAACAGGAACTACAGGAGCGCACGTATTTCAGCTTCTGAATGAATTTATTGAAGAGAATGACATCAACTGGATAAAATGCATCAGAGTTTGTGGAGACGGTGCTAGAGCAGTGACAAGCCGACACAGCGGTGCAGTTGGACGAATTAGAGGGGTTGCTCCAGAAATGATTGGACGCATTGCAATATCCACCGTGAGACCTTTGCCGTCAAGAAAATGCCTGACAATTTAAAATCTGTTAGACTCTGTTGTGAATTGTATCAAGGCTTGCAAAATGAATTCACATCTGCTTTGCTCAACTAAATAGGCTCACCCCTCTCGCTGAAATGGCACTTTTTTATTGTTTTTTTTTAATTGTTGTTCCTGTTTTTTTTCTGTAAAGCGCTTTGAGAAGCCGTCTTTAAAGGCACTATATAAAATAAAGTTTATTATAATATTTATGATGTGTGTGTGAGTGTGTGCACGTACGCGTGCCCATGTTGGTCTGAGAATTTGTGGGGTTCCTATGAGAATGTGACTTGTAGGTGGTAATTGGATGCTTTGGTTTGATCACGGGTGGTACTTGGTCCAAAAAGTTTGAGAACCACTGGCCTAGGAGAACTAAAGCTGGGAGAGTGGAGGAGGTAGGAGCAGGGGAGAGGCAGAGTGGCCGCTCAGGTGGTGCGAAGTGGGGAGAGGTGAAGAGAGGTGTGAAGTTGAAACCTGCATGTGAATAGAGAAGATTACACAAAAACAAGTCTGTCATTGAGAGAAGGGGGATGGTGTGAAGTTTCAGGATAATTTTTGTTTCTGGTGTCTGTTTGCTATGGGAGTTAAGCAACCTTCCTTTGAGAACACAGACGGGGAGATCAGTGTGATCATGGCCGTCTGAGGTGAAATGAGAAACTATGGGCCTGGAGAAGTCTTTAATCTTCACAGCCCCAACATGTTCTCTGAAGCGGTCCCCTAGTCTCTTTGACTGTCTGCCTTGCGATGGATTGGCATCCCGTCCAGGATGTACCCTGCCTTGTGTGCATTGCTTGCTGTCATAGGCTCCGTCTCCCCTGTGACCCTGAATCGGAAGAAGCGGATTGATTTATGGTCTCGTCTAGGGAGTAAATTAAGGTATATTTGCCAGCGTCTGAAAATGCTGAAAAATACAAGCAACAACTGCAAAGATAGGGGGTTCCCCACACAACCACTTCTTTCATTATGCACAAAGACTGTTTGGAAAGGACAAAGTCAGCCTACCTCCTTAAGTCTAATTTGTCTACTGTGTTTTTTTGTAGTTTTAGGTTGATTATCAATATATATAAAAAAATATTTCATATACTTGGCTGTTTGTAGCCTAGCACATAATGCATTTGTAAAAGCATGAAAAAAATGTACTCTGTCAAAATCATATGGTGGTTTTAGGGCCACAAAGATTAATCAGTGAGTGTGCATCTTTCAGTTGGCAAGCAAGAAGATAACACAGCTCGATACCTGAGAGTCTGTCATCCTAAATAACGTGTGCAGTGCTTTATACTCAAAAGTTTTAATACTGAAGATTGTGTCATTTCTGAGTTGTAAAATTCACCTGTGAGCGTGCCTTTATTTTACTTAACATATGTAAGAGAATTCTTAAGCTATCATTTAAGTAGTTAAATTGGTCCATTGAAGTCAGTATTGGTTTGATTTGTCTTTAAGCAGCAGACACACTGGTCCACCATTATAAAGACTTGACACTACTTTAAGATATACCTGCACAAAGTGTTAAACAGAAGAATATTTATATTTATATGTAGTCTAATGTTTTAAAAATCACATTGGTATAATGTGATTGCTGAAAACCAGCTGAGCACAGGATTTTGGGATAGTCTGTGAATCCACTACAAGTGGAACTTAAACATCTTGAATCATCTTTCGTCAGTGTCACTTGTCTGTTTTAGAGTATACTGGAAACCTACATGTCAGTTCTGTTTGGGAGCTCAAGAAAGGTTGTATTGTCTTCAGTTAAGGTTCCTTTGTAGTTGTAAGCTGGTTAATATTTTCATGTCCCCTGTCAGTCCACTTCCTTTTCCTGAACTTTTTATCTTACTGTATGTATTACTGGCTCCCAGCACTGGGGTCCTTGGTTCAGTTCCAGGCATGGGGTTTTCTCTGCATGGAGTTTGTATGTTTCCTTCTCCATTAGTGACGCTTCCTCCTACAGTCAAAGGACATAGAGACAGGCTCATTTGCTTTTGGGGAAAAACTGGCCCTGGTGTGAGTGTGTGCATGTTGTTGTGTCTGTGCTGTGCGATGGACAGGCATCTCGTCCAGGGTGTATAGTGTATCCTGCTTTGTGCCTGTTGATTGCAGGGACAGGCTCCAGCCCTCCATGACTATGAAATGGATGATGTGGTTAAAAAATGGATAGTTGCTGTTCTATGTGTTTTTGTTGTTCAGCGTTCGTCTGGTTTTGGATTGGTTTACACCTAGAAGTGTGGTATTTTGTTAGAAATGGGTATAGTAAAGTTAATCTAACAGATATGAGTTTTAAATTATCTATGCAGACAGCAAATTGCTTTATAAAAATGAGCTCCTACACTGTCAGGTTAAGCTCCAACATACAGGCCTAGACTTAACTTTTACTTCAGAAAGCATTGTAGGGAAAAGTGGTTAGCAATATGAATTTGCTGATACTTTCAGTACTTAAATGCTGTTGATTTTATCAGTCGTCACATCTAAATTGTGTTTTCTACTGTTTTATTCTTTAATAGGTCAGCGTTTTTGTTTTATTACATTTACTGCAACTCGGAAATGGATCTCTGAAGACATTGCCACCCATGTCATATATGCTGTTTTCTAACAGCGTTGTCAAAAACGGTTATTAAAGGTGTCTGTTTTTATTTATAACTAATGAAAATTTTAAACACGGTTAAAATGTGAGCTGTGAGTTTAGGTTTTTGACTTGCAGTCTTTGGTTGATTTTGTAAACCCGTGAATACTATGTATTTTTCATAAATACGGAAGTGCTGATAATCCTGTTGACGTAGTATTTTTAACAGTTATGAATATTGGTGTATGTCTAGATAAAGTATATATTTGTGTATTGAATCATGCACTTCATCTGTTATATTTCCTTTCTTTCAGAGGGCATCTAGTAACCTGAAATGAGAAGCAACAAGCCAAAGACATCTGATGAAACAGACAGTGGTGAGTCTGACCATTGCCAAAATGGATGACCACTTTTCTCTCCCATTTTAAAAATATGCAGTGATATTTAAAAATATATATTTTTTTGCTTTGTTACATGAAAAATAATGACTGGAGGTTAAAGATGTTTCACTCTTCAGTTTTTATAAATATCATCGAATAGTTTTTTCCCAAGCAGTTGGTGTCAGTGTGTAGAGGATTGGGAAAACTAGTCAGCTCTGGGGCTCAATGCTATTGTAGATTTTATAAGTAGCATTGAAATTATGGTATTCTCAGTCCACCTGCAATTACAGAAGTAAGGATCATTGAGAGTTTGTTTTTGATGACCTTGTACACTCTTCAGCTACAGTGTACAATTTTGTCTCGCTGGTTCACTGAGAAAGGTAATACTTCACTGTGAGATTATGCTCAGTAAACAAGTCTAGAAATGTTAAATATGAACATTGTTCCAACAGGAGAAAAGAACAGAGAGGATGACAATGAGTCTGCTGTTGCAGAGACTGATGAAGCAGATCGGTGCCCCATCTGTCTTAACCTCTTCTTACGACAAGAACTGGCTGTCCCTGAAAGCTGCTGTCATGTGTTTTGCCTGACCTGCATCCTAAAGTGGGCTGAAGTAAGTGTCCTTTACCTGTCACTAGACATGTATGATATTCAGTGTGGTGAAAAAGTACACACCCTTAAGATTTACTGGTTTAACAAACTTTTATCTTTGCCTACTCCTAACCAAGTCCTAATAATGGGTAAATTTAACCTCATTTGAAAGATAACACATATCAATTCTACTTTGTCATTATTAATTAAAAAAAGTAACCTAGCATCCAGTATCTTTTTGTGAAAAGGTAAGTGTACCCTTAATTCCACCACATTGGGGGCATGTAGAATCAGGTGCACCAAAGGATGTGTAAATAATTAGTTGATCATTGGAGTGAGTCTACCTGTAATCGGAAACTTTGTCTGTTTAGTCTTAAGCACTCAACCACACATCGTGCCCAGATCAAAAGAAATCTGTGACAGTCTTATAGAAAGAATTGTTTCAGCTCCTCAGTCCAGGGAGGGTTATAAAACTATTTCCAAACAATTTGAAGTCCCATCATTCCGTGGTAGGAAATGTAAGATTGTTGCTAATCTACCAGGGTGGTCATTCTACTAAATTCTCTTCCAAGTACTGGACCTGTGGTGCTCCTTGAAGTCTCAAAGAACTCTTGAGATTACATGCATTAATCAGCTGGCCTCTCTCACTATGGTAAATGTCAGAGTTCATGATTCCACCATTAGGAAAAGATTGAATAATAATGGCTTTCATAGAAGAACAGCCAGGAATCAACCCTTATTAACATTGCCACAAGACTTTAAGTTTGCAAAACAGCACTTGAATAAAAAACAAGACTTCTGAAAGAATGTGCTCTGGATGGCTGAGTCAAAAGTGGAGTTGTTTGGCCACAAACGTCACGTTAGGCGAAAACCAAACACTGCCTTTGACCAGAGGAACCTCATACCATCCGTGAATAAGGGTGGTATTTTGGGTCTGCTGTGCTGCCCCAGGATCTAGGTGCCTTGCCATTATTGAGTCTTCCAAGATTTCCATAGTATACCAGAATATTCTAGAAAAAATGTGAGAAATTTTCTCACAGCTGAAGCTGAACCAAAAGAGGATTTTGTGACGG